GAGAGAGAGAGAGAGAGAGAGAGAGAGAGAGAGAGAGAGAGAGAGAGAGAGAGAGAGAGGAAACCGTGTGAGAGGGAGAAGACACCGTGTGCTGACACTATCGGACCGAAGAAACCGCCCTTATCAACGGGCAACATGAATCCGGAGCGGGGCCACATGCACAAAGGACAAAAAATATGGCGGTGTATCTTTCCATGTTCTGGCGGAAGATTCATTCATATGTTGGGTGGTGGAGAACGAAGGGCTGATGAATCCGGTAAGCACGTAAGGTATCTCCGGAAACTTTTTTTTTTTTTTTTGGAGAATCTCTGAACAAATGAGACTGAATCCTCCGCTTGAACATGGAAAGATACATTGCCATATATGGGCCTCGCTGCACTACTCTGGAAATGTGCAAAACGAGAGTGAATCTTGCGTTAGAATATGGAAAGATACACCGCCAATATTTTTGTCTTTTGTGCATGTTGAGAGTAGTGCAGCGAGTGTTGTGCATGTCGAGAGTTGTGCAGCGAGCCCGTTGCTGAACATTACCGTTGAGGTTCTGACAGGTTGGACGCGCCGGGCTTCACTCGTGCAAAGAAATTCTGATGTTCTTCCTTAAAAAAAAAAAATTCAGCTCCCCCCCCTTTTTTTTTCCGGGGCCCCGCGCGGCCTCAAATTGTTTTTTTTGTTTGTTTGTTTGTTTCTTGACGCAACATCCCACTTGAGCCTACAACACCCCTCCCCAACTTTTATTTTTTTGGCCAACCCCCTATTTTCGGGGTGCGCCGCACCCAGTGCGCGGTGCGGCGCACGTGCGGGATGCCGCGCACCTCGATGCGCCGCAAGTATGATATACATATATAGATAGATAGATATCGTCAAACAGAGCTGCCTATGCCAAAAGAAAATGAAAAATTGCCAAAGATGGGGGTGTCAAAAATGTGCTCGCGCACTCAGTAATTTTAAGTCTCTTTCTATTTTCTCTAATTTTCATTATTAGTATTTACTATTTATTTTCCATGTTTTATTTTCATTCCGAATTTGGTAAGGAATTTGGTTGTAACGCTCAGGCAAATGTTTATTTTATTTTTCTGCATAACATACGTTTTTTTTTTGTTTTTTTTTTTAGCTCCTCGTCCTGCCTGAACGACCGTTTTAAGCTCCTCGTCCGGCCTGAACGACCGACCGCATCCCCAAGGGATCCCGCACATTCGGGCAGTCGGGTTCGGGCACTCGACCCATCCCAAACGCCGGCCACCCTGTATGTACACCGACAGTCTGTAGAGTTTTCCATCTGGTGCGGGTGAGTGATTGGTGCACACCTCAGGGTATCAGTTATCGGGCAGTCGTTGACACTTAACCGCAACCGGGGTTAAGGTCGATTATCAATGGCAGTATAATCAGTTCGGGGATTCTGCAGACTGTCGAGGGTTCAGCCCCCTGATGAGTCAGTCGGTGAAACTCCAACGAAACAGTTTGCCACAGCCCCTTGTTTATTCTCCTGTTCTCCCTCCCTCTTTATCGACGGTTTTCTGGGCAGTTCTATTTGACAATATATACATATATCAATTTATCAAATAATATCATCAAATAGAACTGCGAGGTAAACCGTCGATAAAGAGGGAGGGAGGGAGGGAGAAGTGGAGAAGAGGACAACAAACGAGGGGCTGTGACGAACTGTTTCGTCAGAGTTTCACGGACTCATCAGTCAAATATATTGTTTCATACAGAAACATGAAAGCAGGCACAGCAAACTATCGACGAGTGCTTGCTATTACTGCAAGCTGGTGTACTTATCTTCCTGTGCACGTGTTTCCCCCTCCTTGCTCCACACTAGCGTGTACAAGAAGAGAATGAAAACCACTTCCAACACCACGGTTTCCCAGTGAAAAGACTCAGAGACATTGCTTCATACATGAACAGAAAGATAGCAGAGCAATCAATCAATGTTGTGCTCATTGCTACGGCACATGGAACGTATCTTTGCTTCAACCCTTTCTTCTTCCCCTCCTCCCTCCACACTCTCATATACACCAAAGAGCATGAACACCACTTTCAATACCACCAAGTCCCACCAATTCCAAGTGAATAGATGCACACAGATATTCCTTCATACAGAAACAGCAAGCCTTGCTTC